TGGCAGCGATGGAGACGACAGCAGCGGTGGCGACGGCAACAATGGTGATGAGACGATTTTAAACACTACTTTTTTAAAAAAAATATTTATGAAAAATAATTTTTAAAAATATTTTTAAAAAATTATTTCAAACATACCCTTATAGCCTTTTTTTTTTCTATTAAATTTAAAATTTTAATATTAACTCAACCGCAAACGGTAAAAATTATATTGGGTTTATGTCACATGCACACATAGGTGAAGGGGATCGTGTGTAAATTTGTATACCTGATATAAGTGACAAATCTTAGGATCTACATGTAAATTTCCTTTTCTGTTTGACAGAATTTGCTCTATACGTTGTCAATTTATGGATCTGAAACGAAGTTGAGAAGGAAAAAGCTCGCCTCGCCCAGTTTGAGGGAAAATCGAAAAATATGGTAAAAAAAAGTTTCAACACAGTTCAATTTCTTGCTAATTTTGTAGTTTTTTTCGGAAGGTTTGTTAATTTCATAGTTGCTGTGAATTGAATGAATAATTTGATTTAATTTGAGGGTGTTGATTCATTCTTTGTGGGTATCCCATTCACAGTCGGCGCTATTTAACTTCCATTCATTTCTAACGGTGGTGCTGTTGGTAATTTGCGCATGTACGTTCTTGAAGATGTAATTCCCAGCACTCCTTGAACAGAAAACTGGGTAGGTCTATTCTTCTCCTTCGTAGACATATGCACATCATATTTGTAGTTTTTTCCCTCAATGGGCACTTGATGGGTTGATTGTTTCCGTTGGAAATTTTTTTTTTTTTATGGAAACCCGTGAATTTTTTTACCAGCTACTTCCCTTTCAGAAGGTTTTTGCATCGAGAATCTTTTGTTGATTCCAATTTATGCACATGATCAGTGTGTTATTTTGTTGTTAAATGAGAATACTTTCGAGGGTCAAGCCTGCTTTTGCAGATTATTCATGTAAATTGGCATTTTAATGAACTGAATCTGTTGCATACAAGTTATATGGTGGTGGTGTAAGAACTTTTCAGTATGTGGTTTGTTTCTGTAGTTGGATATTATCAAGCTTGAGAATATCTATTAGTTAGAGAAAGCATGTAACAAGGTTTGATTGGTAATATACGATATAGATATATCAGAATGAGATAATTGTGGTGAAGTTGTAAGTATCATTGATGGTGGACAGGTGATGAAGATGCTTAGTACAACAATGAGAAGAATTTGATTGTTTTGATGCGTTTTGCATCAACTTAGAGCTTGGGTAACCATCCCCAGAGTGGCATTAGTAAACATTGCTATTATGCTTGTTTGGTCCCCAGAGTGGCATAAGCAAACATCAATATTATGTTTGTTTGCTAGTGTATGTTTCTGTGTGTCTGTGGGATCACTAATGGTTGCATATCATCACACTGAAAACCTTCGGAGGTAACGTGTGTTCTGAGTAACCAGTGAGTTGTATTCTACGTGGCCATTGATTCTCCGAGATTTCTATGCTTTCATCGTTTTAATATTAGAACGTGTTAATTGTGGAAGATGCCTGCATTAAGGCATGAAGGTTGTGTGCCAGCCATTTTATTTTCTTTAGTACTCTGATATATTCTGATTTTCCGTTTTTCCTTTATTTATATTTTTAAAGTACATTACCTCTAAATCAATGTCATTCTGATTGGTGTCTGTTTTCCTTTGGCAAATTTCGAGGTTTCTTTTGGAAGGCTGCTAGAATAGGTATAATTATTTATTTTTTGCATGCACAAAGGCTTCCTAGCATGGTTGGGACAGCTTTTCTTCACCCTTTTTCAATCATATGATTAGAAAAATGATGGTTTTTTAGGTTATGATAGGCTTGGTAATGTCACTAGGACCCAAATTGCTTTGTTTCCCATCAGCAAACATTTTGTGGAGGCCCAGTTGTGTCCACCCCCACCCCACAAAGAGAGGGCCTACATGTGTCCACCCTTCTTTTGACACACAAACTCGCAAATCATTGGAGCGTAGGTGTTGAAAATGAATGGTTTTGGTAAAATTTTTTGGTCTGCAATTTTGGTTCTAAGCTGAAAAATTCAAATCCGATAATAGCTAATGGTGTCTTTTGAATGGCCATCGTTCACTTACTAATGTGTGTACCTTCTTGGTGGGTAGAATGGCAAGCATGTTTCAATTTATCTCTAGTCAAGTCGAAATTTAATTGGTCTTTATTATGTTCTGTACATGTATGGGATCAATAAATAATGCTTGAAACAGGTGAACGTTTGAGCCCCTGGATGGCTGTCGGATGCTTCACAATGGGTGTATCGATAATATTTTTTTGAGCGATAAAGAATTTGCTTGTATTGATGTAGATTCGTCTTTTGTTTCGTCCAGATAGCTATTGATTTGTGAGGCTCCAGCATTATTTGGAAGTGAGGGGATTCTAATTTTTGTGCCTTGTAGGAGTGTAATCTTGTTATAGCTAAGTGTTACTTTTGAAAACATCATGTATGATCTCTCTCTGAATTTGCTATTAAATCATCAAAGGCGGTCATGTGGATTGTTTTGCACCTTAATGGATAATGAATGCCGATGGTTATTTTTCTGGAGTTATTGGTGATCTCAGTCCATCTCGAACACATACGAACCATCTATTTTTCATCTTTCAACTTCTATTTTGTTTGAGTTTTCATAGATTTGTATATTATGTGGAATTTATTTGATAGATTTGTCTCTCTCTCTCTCTATTCATCTCTTTATTTACTCTTTTGGGAACCCTAGTTAATGGATTGCTCATTCCTATAATCAGTTTGATAAAATGTCTCTTAGAAAATTAGGTTTTATTTGTGCTTGTGTGTTGGTACATTGCCTTTCTTGTTTGGGTATGAAACAAGACGATTGTAGCCCCAAAGATTCGTTTCTGCATAACCCCCCTTCAGGGTACTGCTTTCTTGCCCAATTGTAGAGATTCTTACCCACTCATTAGTGCCAAAGTAAGCAGAATATATCTCAAAGGAGGTGCCAGCTGAGCATTCAACCACCCTAGATGGAGCAAATAATAAAATGAGTTCGGAAAAAACATGAGAAGGAAAGGGCTTATTGATCATATCGATTGGGGGCAAAAAGAAAACTGGGTAAAAATATTGTTATAATACTTTATCAAGTTCACAGGCTTCTGATAATTTAAATGTTCGTTTTGTTTGGTCACTTATTCCAGTCAAGTGTTACACGAGCCCAACCTTGTTTAATTGAATTTTGGCGGACAGATTCACTATAAACAATCATCAGGTGCAATTGAAGAGCATAAGATGTTTGGGAGTAGTGGCTAATGTGATTTGTGTAATTGCTTGGTGATCTTTTTCCCATTTATATGACAAGAACCCGTAGCACGTGCCATGCCATGCTTGTGAAATGTATTTTGAAGGCCTAGTTTTTCTTCAGCTTGGGAGAGGCTTGTTTTCTCTCACACCACATAAAACTTAGGAGTTGAATATCATTATCCAATGCAATATCAGGGAGTTTGTTGCCGTTTTGCTCTTGTAAGACACGAAACTAATTTTTTTCTACCAATGCATTATCGAAAATCTTCTAGGCTAGTTTTCATGTGAAATTGTATTTACGTTGGTGGAGGCTCCCCATATTGGCTTATGAGTAGGCGACTTGGACTATATTTTTTTGGTGGCAGCAATTACGTTGTTAGACCACAACCCATAGTAGTTTCAGCTTTGCAAGTGTGAATCTTTTTACGTTATCAATATAGTTGTCAACTCTCAATCAGTCAAATAAGGGTACAAAGTTGGCAATAAGGTAAAAGAAGCTGGTAAAAATTATTGCACGACTGCCGTTGGTCCTGACTTTCCATTTCGTTTGAGTGGCAATATTAAAGTTCAGTGGCCAAATTCATACTGTTTTGAGGTTCTCCCGCTTTCTTGTCTTGTCGGGAACCCTTTCATGTCAATCTGATTCCTGTTATTTATCTTTGGGCTTGGAGTTACTACTGAAAGTAGAGCTCTCACCTTGCGTGGTACAGAAAATTGAAATGTTATGTCACTTCATTCGATTCTAATATGACACTCCACGTATGGAGTCGTTTTAAATGTTATAAGAAGGCCAAATGTTGTTGATTCAAAATGCTACATAGAACAGAGTGCAAGTATTTCTGAAGATTTTAAATACCATCATGTCCAACACACCACAGTTTGCAACTATGCATTAAAGAGCATTTTCTTTGTTAAAACCTATTGGAAGGATAAACCTACAGAAAACTAGGTCTTCTGCCTGAACTAATGCTGTTTAAATTATAGGGGTTATTATCCAATCTGTTGCTGATCAATCTGAGGGTGTTGTCTCATTAAAATCATGACCTCTAATGCTACTTGAGGTTGATAAATGCTGTTTAGTTCTCCTTTGCTCTTGATTCATGCATATTTGTTTCACAATCAAGGACTAACATATGCATTTATTCTTCAGAACCCTCCCAAGCTCGATGCTCCTCTTTTTGAGACAACCGAAGCCAAGGAACTTAAAGATATCGACCCTGGACTACAGGATTTGCAAACAAATGTTTTCTAAAAGGCACATAATGACAGGACTGGGAGAGCTCTGCTTCTTCTTGTGTGATTATGGCTTGCTTGTTGTGAACCAGACTACTCATCAACTTTGATCATGGCAGCATATACAAAGTAGGTTACCTAAGAATGAACACATGCTCAGGCTAACAATCTCTGTTTGAATATGAGAAAAGTCAACTTTGGGGCATGCCATCAATGGAGATTTTTTTTCATTGCTTTGGATGTGTATATGTGCATTCAATGCTATTAATAATTGTGACACAAATAAGTGTTTTCACATCCAAACGTATTTTTTATAAAATATATTAATTTAAATATTTAAAATTTTGAATATCCAAACAATACTTATTTAATAACAATGTTTTTCTTATAAACACTTTTGATAAACATTTATTAAAAAAATACTTCTTGAATTTCATAAGCCATCCCAAACACACTCTAAGTCCATGAATAGAAGTTCCTACACAAACTAAATCTCATTTTTCATCTAATGCAAGTCTATAACCACCATTTAGCAACTCAAAGATCTTGTATTGCTCGACTGATGTAAAACAGTATAACAAAGAATTACAACTCATCAAGAAACTAGAACCCCCCAAAAAAGGAATCCCATGGTTAAATCCAGGAAAGAACACTGCACCAGCTGGCACTTGGATTTCACAACTCTTGCCGAGTCTAGAACATGAAAAGAAATTAACAAAATCCTATGCCGAAGGTGATATGATAGAAAGAAAAGCTACCATTCATTGGCAGTACTGAAGCTATCTCTTCTTTTTACCGCCCTTCCCAGACTTGGAAGGTGCAGCAGTCGAGGTGGATGTGGGTTCCTGTTTCTTAGTCCTCCCAGGGTGTCTCGGAACCAACTCAGCAACATGGAGCATCAGCTGTTTCCCTGCAATATAATCCCGATGTTCATTTATAAAGCCATGGGGAAAAAATATATAGAATTCACCTATTAGAAAATACAATAACAGCCAAAACACTAGGACATGGAAAAGACATGAATGATTAGCATACTTTCGGTACATGATATGATGAGCCAAACATCATATACAGTTGGGAATCACTTTTTTTCTAAAAAACCACGACCCACTGATTCCTTCAAAAGTGTGAATGCATTGCTTAGGAATTAGTATGCAGTGCGTGGGAATGCAGCCCTGTCTAGTGGCTCCCAACCTAGTTATTGATCCATCAATCCCAAGCTAAATGGTTTTATGGTTCAAGTAGAGGTAGTATTGGTGCAAAACAATAGTACTTGAGTAGAACAATTCTTCCTTTTGCAAAACTCAAGAAAGACAAGTACCAAAAGAATCCTGGTTCGTGCATAGGCTGAGGGCAATCTAAGGATGACAAAGGAGAATGAGTTATATGCACAATGGACCTTAACAAAGGCCCATCTTAGCCAAACAAACAATGGTCGATAAAAAAAGACACTTAAATGGAATCTCCAAGTCTTGAAGAAATGCTCAGAATCATCATGTAGATGAGTATTTCAACAATTGTGATCACATTGAATCTTGAATTTCCGATTTGTCATGCTCAATAAAATACATGAACACCTAGGTGTTATCCTTGCAATTGATCATAGATATTTCTAAAACAAAATTAAGGACTCAAAATACCACCCAGGAGCAAGAACTAAAATAATCACATTAAAAAACTCTCTTATCTTGGTTGTGGCCAGAAATATGAATACAACAATCAGTAATTGACAGAACCGCAGCTAGTTCAGCCGTAAATCTAGAATTAGTACTTTGGGTTTGAGCCCTATGTGCTAGTTCTCTCCTTTCAAAACACACACATAAAAAAAAAAATCTCCTGCAATAGAACATTATAGGGGCACTGCCATGCAAGTACTCAAAAGGCATTGTCAAAGATCAAATATTTCGAGCAGGCTTTTGGAACTCAAGAAAAAGAAAGTAATTCAAACATTATCACCCACCAGAATGCCACCTTTCAAAGTATATGATAGTAGTTACATTTCCCTAACAACCAAGTTAGGGTGATCTAGTCTCTTAAAAGAACAACACATTCCAACAAAGGAACTGAAAACTAAGAACATGAGAAAAAACCTAAGGAAATGAAGAAGACTGCTTACTAGAAGATATAGCCGGATGGCACAGAGTCCCATCTTCCTTTTTCAGCAAAACCCTCACCCTCCCTCTTTGCATAAAATCACGCGGATACGCCTTATCAATCTAACAAAGATCCATGAACACATTATCAAACATGAGAGCAAACTCCCAACCAAGAGTCCCCTAAACTGATCGCAATTAACCACATAAAGAAGAATAAAAAACTGGGAAATGAAACATCAATTAATCACTACAAAAAAAACAAATAACAATTCAAATAACATTGACAAATCAAACCTCGATAGCAAAAGGGAGTTTGAGGTAGCTACAACAATCACCAATCTCAACACAAGTAGGGTTTTCACACGCTTTGCTAGCGTTAATCCGCCGACCCTCAGCAATCGTTTTCTTTGAATTTATGTAAATTGGGTAGAACACAATCCACTTCTTTATATTAGGTATATCCCCATCCATGTTCCTATCAAATCAAAATGATAGGATTCGAAACCATCACTCAAAACAAAAACCCTAAACTCATCTAAAAGGAAGTTTCTAATTACAATCCAACTTTGAAAAAAAAAAAAAAACAACATAGGCTGAAAAATAAGCAAAATTGAAACAGATCTACTGCAACTGCAGGTGAGGAAATTAAAACGTACCTTGAGTTGAAGAGAGAGAAATCTCGACCAAGAAAAATTCCGGAGAACTTTGCTATGCACAAACCAAACCAGACCAGTTATACTGTTTTCATATTCACTGGTTATGGTAGGACAGGCAATGAGCCGAGCTCGTGTTTGTATTGGTCTGGGCCATCGAAGATGATAATTGCATAACTATGGGTAGGTGCCCATACCAATACGACGACTACAATCTTGACTTATGGTGCATTTGGTAACGCTTTCATTTTTATGTTTATTTTTATAAAAAAACAGAACTAATTTTTGTTTTTTCTATGATAAAAATTAAAAATATAAAACATTTTTTGTAGTCATTTATATTTAAAAAACTAGCGATATCCCGTGCCTGAAGGCACTGTACAATTCAGAAAAACCGAATATTGATTGTGAACGCCAAAAAATAAAGTACTGAACATGAATGCGCATATTAAGCCATAAGATACAATTGTATCCTTAACGCACCTGCACTTTGATTTAGTGATCACCAATGTATGACCTATATTAGGCAATTTGTAAAACGCTAATTACACAATCCACCCAGTTTTAGATCTTATGAAGCAGGTGAATTGTCTCCCAAATCTATATACATACACTGTTGCAATCAATGGCCTCTGCCAGAATGGTAGAGTGGAGGAAGCAGAGAATCTTCTGTATAAGATGTCCAATTCAGGAGTCTCTCCAAATGACATCACTTATACTGTATTATTGAAAGCACATGTCAAAGCTGGTCACTACTTGCCGGATTTGAGTTCTATCAAGCTATGAAGATTACATAGTTGCATAGGAGCTTGCTTTGGTCAGAGTAATAAATTGAAACACTAAACATCTACTGAAGTTCTTACAACAAACATTTACAAAAACATATGCAACAAATACAAACAATGGCACATTAGATTTCATTTAAAAAAAAGACAAAGAATAAATACAATAATAAGTTTTCTTAACATATCAGATGAAGAGAGCACACCAACAGTACTGAGTGACCTAGAAACATAAATCGTCGCAAATTCACATAAAACAGCCCCATAATTATAGAAAAAAAAAGAAGAAACATTCATACACATAAACTATATATGTACACCCTAGTTCTCAGATCGAACGAATGGATAGATTGGAAAGATAGATCTGAATTGAGAAAGGTAGAGAACATGAATAATATTTGAAATAGAGAACAAATTAGCGAAGAAAAATCACAGTACCTAATTGGTGTTTGAGCCGCGGAGTGTAGCAACGAACAGAAAAGAGGGATCAGTATAAAGATGAGCACCCGCTGCAACTCTGGGTTTTGCGATCTGGTTAGGTCAATTAGATTGCGCTAGGTGCGTACGATACACAGCCGATTAACAGAGGGAGGGAGGGAGGGAGGGAGGGAGAGACATACCTGGGAGGCGGGTGGGTGGCGGTGTCGCTGGGGCGACGGTGGAATCGGTGGAGATGGCTTAACAGAGAGAGGGAAGGAGAGGGATAGAAGGCGCGAAGGGGAGTCTACGAGGCATAGGTCTCTGACATTGAGCGTGGGTGAGAGAGAAAATTGGATGCGATGGAAATGGGGGAAAATATTAAGAGATAAAATGTTAGTTTTATGAATTTGAGACTATTTGTTGAAATCTTCCCGTTCTATATTATAAATGGTGAAAATAAAAATAAAAAATTTGTTTAATATTATACCAAAAATTTATCATTTAAATCCCACCACCCAACTCCACCGACCATCCAATCCCACCACCAAAATTTACACCCCAATCCCACCACTAAAAGTCATTATCACAACCATCGAAACTCACCTCCAACTCCACCACTGAAATCCACAGCCTATCACTGAAACTCATCACCATAATACCCGAAACCCACCATCACAACCACCAAAATTCAACCTGTAATAACCAAGTTTCAATAATTAGGAATCGTTGAATGTGTACGGTTAGGAGTTCAAATTGATGTTCGAAAGTTTAATCGATAGTACTTGATTTAATATATATGTAATTGTGAAAAAAAATTAATAATATTATTATTAATTAATTTTTGAAATTAAACAAAATAAAAAAATTACCAAACTGCCACAGATAAAATAGGAAAATTACCAAACTACCATTGAAGATTCAAGACCTTTCTACACAATGCAAAGTGGCTGATCGAGGCTTGTTAGGCTGCATGGAGGACACCCAGCTACTTGAGGAGAGTTGAGTGAGCTGTTTGAGGGAGTATAAAATGGAGAAGGATTCAGTGAGAAGAGAGAAAGGAAAAAGAGAAGTTAGAGAAAGAAACATAGACTTTGTATTTTCGGATTTATTGCATAGGTTACTTCGAGCACTAAGAGGTATACTCACAACCTAATATGGATGCTAGGAACTCATATATGTATTTAGATTTTCATTTGGTTTAGTATTCATGCATAAATTTGTGTTTTAAAATTTAGTGGATATTTGAATTTTGAAACAGGTTTGAGGTTTGAGCATGTTTTGGATTAATTGTTTGTTATGACTGAGTTTGGGGGGTCTTGATGAAATATTTAGTAGTGGTTTGATGGTTTGTCGGTGGTGTGTGGTGGTGTAATGGTGGTATGAGGGTTTAAGAAAGTGAAAATATGATTTGATAAAAACTTGTTTAAACTTCGAAATTAGGCTTGTGTTTAGTTAATTTGGGGTCAAAGAATCCATTTCTGGCCTCGAAATTGGATTTAGAGTTCGTATGGAGGGTGAAACGGGCAGTTGCAAGACTAGCCATGTGTTTAAAAAATAGTTTTTATCCAACTTTGACCAATGATTTGATGATGTTAGAGTTAAATTCGAAGGTTGAATCTACGTGGATTGAAACTAGGTTGTTCAAAGAGTGTGTAGATATTGAGATCAAGAGAAAAGATGTATTGTAGTGAGAGAACTAGAGAGTCAAAGTTGGGTAGTTGAGCAGAAATTTCTGCATTTAGGGTAAAAGTCAAATGAACCAAGGTGGAAGATAAAGTGGGCAGTGGACTTCGACGGTAATTTTGGCTTCATCCGACCTCTGGTTTGTTCCAAAAGCTTCGTAACATTCATGCGGAGGTCCTGATAAAATTTCAAGTCGATTCGACGGCGGGATCAAAATGAAGAGTAAAATGATTGTTTTGCCCTCCGGGGTCAAATTAACCTAGTTTTGAGTGATTTTAAGAAAATAAATTTTATATTTATTTTTAGGTAGTTTAATTGAGTATGTTTATTAAATTTCATCAAAAAATAACATTGTTTAATTTTTGATTATTTCATATCAAAATACCGAGTGGGTAGGGTTTCTCAATTCCGAAACAGGCGATACTTTTCCAATTTGTTTTCAAATTATTTCATTATTTATTTATGATGTTTTAGCATGTTTTGAAATATCTGATCGGGTGTTTTGAATATTGACTTGGATCCGAACCCGGATGCAGGGTTTCTGAGTGCGGGTTGCACTAATGTTTTGGAAATGATAGCATTGCTTGAATTGTTCGAATTGAATGAAACTTCAGGATTTTTTTTTTAATGGAAATATAAGTGCATACGGGTCGAATGACAAAGGGTTTATATTCCAGTTTGAGGTCGTAAAGAGTACTTATTGAGTTTGTAAATGCCTTGGTGGCCCTGTTGGCCTTTGGACTTGGGTACTGAAATTTGATTAGGGAAAGTATCTTCCTTGGGGTGGAAGTCCTCCAAAAAGGTTAGATCGTATGTTCGTATGGACCTGTAGTGGTATATTAGGATGAATTGTCCACCAGTGTTACACTGTACTTAAATTTTTGAACTCTCTTTTATAATTTTATTTATCTGTTACAGTTTCACATGAAATGACGTTTTGTTGACATATATGTATCAACTGCTCATTTGGATTCTTGCTCAATAATGCTAAACTATACTATTTTCAAACTCGTTTGCTTAGAAATTGAGATACTCTACTGAGCTATTGATGCTCACCCTACGTTACTTTCCCTTTTTCAGATATGAGAAAGTTGGGAGATGTGTACAAAATAATCTACTAAGGTTTTTGTATATTTTAGGAAGTTGTATCAGAAGTTTGTAGTAGAATAAAAGAAAACCTAGTGTATAACGTATACTTAATTGAATAATAGGTTGTAATAGTTTAAATTATGTTAGGTTAAAAGTTTTGCATATATTTATATAATAATTTGTGGTTGTGGGTTATTATACTATGTTACGTAAATTTCTTAGTATTATAACGTTTCGTGGATTAAAGTAACACCGGTCACATGCTAAGTCGATTCGGGGTGTGACACAACCCCAACCCAACCACCGAAACCCACAGTCCACCCTCATCACTAAAACTCACTACCACAACTATCGAAACCCACTACCACAACCACCGAAACCCACTACCCACCCTTGAAACTCACTAGTAAAGTCCACTACCCACCCCAAAACCCACCACCACCCCCGAAACCTAACCCTGTAACTCCCCAGCAAAAACCATGAGGGAAGGGCAATCGAGAGAAAGTTAATAGACATTAGAAAAAAAAAAGTGAAAAAAGAGGGACTTTTTATACTAAACACAATAAAATTCACTTTTTGTTGTTAAGAATGATCGAAATTAGGAAATCATTAAATGACACATTTTAAACCACGCGTTTGATATTTTTAGATATTTTCAAAAACATCTTTTTGAATGTTACCATATTTTAACCTTATTTTTAAAACGTAGTAGTTAAAAAAAATAAAAATATTCACCAAATGTGATTTTATTTATTTTTAATCATAAAATGAAAACAAAAACAAAAAAAAACAAAATCACAAAATTATCAAACGACACCTTAATTATTGTTATTTACTTATTTATTTGTTGCTCTTCAACAAAAGTTTTATTAGACAAAGTTAAACACTAGTGAACACAGTTGGAATGTGGAGTAATTTTCTCCCATCAAAATAACGTTGATAATTTTTGACACAACATAAATTAACGGATTACGGTTGATAATTTTTCGATATGAACTTATACGTAACATGACTTATTAACACGGATAATAAATAAATTGAGTTATTATTAAATACAAATAATATGAAATTAACATGATTAATGTGTTTAAGTAATATTATAAGAACATAATATTATTTTTTATTATATTTTATCAAAAAGTGATTTATTTTTTATACAAAAAAATATATTTTTACTTATTTTTTATTATATTAATTTTTATTTTATAAAAAAATATGAATATAAATTAAATTAAGTGATAATAAAATTTTAAATAAAAAATTAAATTATTTATTCACCAACATGAATACAAAACGTAAGTTAAACAAATTTATTTAAAACTAATTAATGTTTAACTTAAACTCAAAATAATGTATGACACGACCCGATAGGATTATCACTAGAAAACAACAAACATTGATTTATATTCTTGGGACAGTCGGGTGCACTTGTAAGTGCAACAGAGGATCATTTCTCAGTTTTTTTATCCGTTAATTTGCAAGTGGTACTTCCCAAGTTACAACCCACATGTAAGAGTAGGACAGTAGACAGAGAGGTTTTCCGGGGAAAAAAATTTCCGCCAAAAATGTCCGATCCAGGAGAAGAAAAACACCGGCAGACTTTCTCTGCAAAGTCAAAGGATCAAACTGATCTATCACCAACAGACTCATTGCTGATGATGGATATCGATGTCGACGGTTCTTGGACCTTTGATCAGTTATTTTCTTTAAATCCTACTTCGCCGTGCCTTATCCCCAACTCCGACCAGCCTTGTTCTCCTCTGTGGGATTTTTCCGACGATAACGATGGCAAAACCGTTGGTAACACTCTCTGACTACCCTAGACTTCTCTTGCAAATTGTCTCTGTTTTTTCATGGATATATTCAAATATATTTAACCTGAAATTGTTTAGTTCATCAAATTTCATTGTTTTAATTGTTCCTATATCTTATCTCTTTGAATTTACTTTGCTTGAACTGATTCCCGCGGCAAAGTTAACATATTTGCTGCTTTCTGCTTGTTAGTGATCAAATCTGTGCTGTATATGTTACTATTGACTCTTGAGCCGCAATTGCTCGATTTAATACGTGGAACTGCGAAGACTATCTCCTTCTACACCTACTTAAGACATAAAAAGGTTTCGTTTAGTTGGTATCACTTCATTGAACTTTGTTAGTTGCTGAGAAGCCCCAGGAAGATGAGGCAAATCGAAGTTTCGCACCTTATAAATGGAAACAACTACTTTAACTATGCCTTGCACAATTTACTTTGCTACGTTAAGATTTTTCTTTCATTATAGGAACCAAATAACTGTTTTTGGGGGGAATAAGGGTGGGGAGTGATTTTAAACTGTGCTTGTCCTTCGAGTTTGTTTGGACACACTATTGAATGTGGTCCTCTTCTGCTTGATATTGGACATAAAGTTGCTGACCTTGTTTTCATCTTTTTCCGGAAGTTCTCTGCCTTGATTGAATCTTCCAAGATGAATTCTCCTGTCTGAATGTTTCTGTATACATGCATAATAACAATGTCTGCGAAAGTCCATGAAGCATCTGCTATGTTCAAAGCACATGGTGTTTTCTTTTTATGACATCAAAAAATAATGGCTTATGATATCAGGTTTCCTTATTTGTTTCTGACTTGGCATTTTTGGAAAAGTGTAGGTAATATTGATGCTGTGACTGAAAACCCATATGGGATTGATGATAAAAGAAGGCCGCCCCTTGAATTGATGCCCCTAGATTATCCCGATGGGTCTTGTGTCATTAAGGAAAAGATGATTCAAGCACTTCGGTACTTCAAAGATTCGACCAACCAACATGTTCTAGCGCAAGTTTGGGCACCTGTGAAGAATGATGGTCAGTATGTACTCACAACTTTAGGGCAACCCTTTGTTCTTGACTCGGATAGTAATGGGCTTCATCAGTATAGAATGACCTCTCTAATGTATATGTTTTCTGTTGATGGCGAGAGTGACGGGGTCCTTGGGCTACCTGGCCGAGTTTTCAGGCAAAAGTTGCCAGAATGGACTCCAAATGTGCAGTATTACTCCAGCAAAGAGTATCCACGGCTTAGTCATGCTCTGCATTACAATGTCCGTGGAACTTTAGCTTTGCCAGTGTTCGAACATTCTGGGCAGTCTTGTGTTTGCGTCCTTGAGCTCATAATGATGTCACCGAAGTTAAACTATGCTCCTGATGTTGATAAAGTCTGCAAAGCACTTGAGGTTTGTTATCGGATGTCAATCCTTCCTGCTCTGCCCATTCAGTCCGGTTTTATGTCTTTCGCTGCAAATGAAATAACATGTGGTTTCCGCCAAACATAGAGCAAACCTATAGGAAAATATATTGAACTTCTGCTCTGAGGTATTGCGTAAAGGACTGTGTTCGCTTGGATTTTTGGGCTGTTGAGTATTTCGACTTTATTTTATTGTGCATTCATGTTTGTTTTGACGTTCTATTTGGTGAATTTGTGAAGGATTTACTAGGCAATCAAAAATCATTGCAGGCCATGTTTTCATTATGCATGTTCTATTTTGAGTTTATGACAATTCGCTAAAAAGGGGATATATTGGATATTTGGATGTATTCGTCTTTCTAGAGTTTCCGAATCTCTTTTCAGAAAAAAATTAAGTGGTTGAAATTTGGGCACATAGACTAATGCGTCCGTGCAATGTTACTCCCATGCTCTTTGGTGATACTTTTCTTCTGAACCTTCCGCGATTCTTCAGTTACATAATTTCAAATTCCTTGCAGGCAGTAGATTTGAGAAGTTCGGAGATATTGGATAATCCAAAGATTCCAAACATACAGGCAAGCTGCAATAATTGTGTATATCAAATGATGTTTATTTTGCCTCACAAATTTATAGACTTGACTATACTTCAACCAGATTTGCAATGAAGGTCGCCAAAATGCACTTGCTGAAATTCTGGAGATCTTGACAGTGGTGTGTGAAACTCACAAATTTCCTCTGGCTCAGACATGGGTTCCATGCTGGCATCGCAGTGTTCTGGCCAATGGTGGTGGTCTAAAGAAGATTTGCCGTAGCTTTGATGGAAGCTGTATGGGACAAGTCTGCATGTCTACCAGTGATGCAGTGTTCTATGTTGTGGACGCTCACATGTGGGGTTTCCGGGAGGCCTGTGCTGAACACCACTTGCAAAAGGGGCAGGGTGTTACTGGTAGAGCATTTGAATCCCGCAACTTGTGCTTTTGCAGAGATGTTACACAGTTTTGCAAAACTGAGTACCCCTTGGTACATTATGCTCGCATGTTTGGGTTAACCAGCTGTTTCGCAGTATGTTTACGAAGTACTTACACTGGAGATGATTATTACATTTTAGAGTTCTTTCTACCGCCTGAAATCACAGATAGTACTGACCAACAGACCTTGTTGAACTCGTTGTTCGCTACAATGAAGCAACATTTAGGGAGTCTTCAGGTTGCTTCTGGGAAAGAACTTGAAGATGTGGAGCAATATGTTGAAATCATTATAGCATCTATGGATGAGAAACCTGATCCAAGACAATGTGTCCAGATACCCCATACAATTTCTCCACCCTGGCCAGATGCCTTATCAATTAGAGGAGAGATGGTGCAGGTCAAGTCATTGGGGCAGGAGTCGGTGGTTGAATTTAATACCATAATCAGTGGAGGCGATGTTGGTGGTGCAGTTGGAATCCAAAATACTGTTTCCTTCTCAGGAAATAAAGATTCGAGCAAGAAGGCAGAGAGAAAACGTGGAAAACCCGAAAAAGTTATTAGCTTGGAGGTTCTGCAACAATATTTTGCTGGGAGTCTTAAAAATGCTGCAAAGAACCTTGGTGGTATGTTTTATGCACTTAAAACTGTTTTATGTCATGCTGTACTCATGTATAAAATCTGGATTGATTTGTTCCAGTAACAACTGAAATGGAGTGTTCTTACCATGATTCTTACTTTTACAGTTTGCCCTACTACCATGAAACGCATATGTAGGCAGCATGGGATCAATCGTTGGCCATCTCGCAAGATCAACAAGGTTAACCGTTCCCTTTCCAAGCTAAAACGTGTAATTGAATCTGTACAATGTGCTGAAGGAGCATTCACTTTAAATTCTCTGGCTACAAGTTCACTTCCTCTTGCTGTTGGTTCCATTTCTTTGCCTTCTGCTCCGAACGGATGCAATCAACAAAGCTCACCAGGATCCAAACCATATGAACTTCCAGGTGAAAAGAATGAAGGGCCCACTTGTAAGACACCAGGAAGCGATGGTCAGGCCGAGATAGAATATGATATGCTTGAAGGCAGGGTGTTGGGTAATGAGAAACCTATTAGTGTCCAAACTCGGTTTCTCCCGGAGTTAGGTGATGGCTCAAACCGGCCCAAAACAGGGAGTGGCTTAAGAGAAGAAAGCACTGAGAACCCAACTTCCCATGGTTCATGTGAAGGTAGCCCCTACCTCGGAAATGAATCCTTGCCCCAAAATGATTGGGTTGTTTCTCCTATCCATAAGCAAGGCAGAAAAGCTGGTGATTTGTTGGAATCGGCATGTCAACCGAGAGGAGAAATAAATCTATTGGCTGCATTCTCAACCCCTGATGTTTTTGTCACAACACAGCCCCACGAACCGTTTGGAGGAATGCTAATCGAGGATGCAGGAAGCTCACATGATTTGAAAAATCTCTGTCCAGCAGGCGAGGTGCTATTTGATGAACAGGTCCCAGAACACAATCAGACAAACCCGCCATGTCCTGATGTGGTTCCAGAAGAATCCATGGCTACTCCTACTGTCCGAATGCCACAGTTTTCAGCGAGGCCAGAAGTGAAGACCATAAGCATAAAAGCAACTTATAGAGAAGATATCATAAGGTTTCGGCTATATTCAAAGACCTGCATTGTTAACTTGAAGGAGGAAGTGGCTAAAAGGCTGAAGTTAGAGACGGGTACGTTCGAGGTCAAGTATCTGGATGATGATCACGAGTTGGTTTTGATAGCCTGTGATGCGGATTTTGAGGAATGCGTAGATATTTCAAGATCATCAGGTAGCAATATTGTCAGACTGGTGATTCATGACGTAATGGCCAATATTGGGAGCTCCTGTGGTAGCTCAGGTGAATAAGGACCGACTCGACTAGCTTGTATATGGATAGCTCATAGCTCTGCATTTCATTGCCATTTTAATTTCCAGTGTATAGTGCAGATTATGAATGCCAGTGGTGCTGTTATGTGCAATAACATAATTTATTTTTGACTTTAGGTCTTATTGTAAGCGAAATAAGAATGGTACATTTTTTTTTCTTTGTGTTTGATAAAATGGATGAAAAATAAAAATGATTAAGATTTTTTTTTTGTATTTGCTAAGGTAGAGGTGACAATCGAGTCGTGTTGTGTCAGATTCGTATTGCATCATTACGGGTTTGTGTCGAGCATTAATCAAACTTAACGCAATTTGTTTGACTAATTGTGTCGTGTAGAGTTGACTTATTTATTTTTGTGTAGTATTCGTATATGTGTTGACTCACATAAATTTTGAATAAAAAATTTAATGCTAATATTTTATTTTTATTTAATTGAATTCATGCTCATATTTAATTTTTCTACAAACTAAAAATTAACTTAAATAAATATAATAATAATAATAATTAAAAATATCTTTTTTATATAATAATTATATCAGTACTAAATAAATAGTTACAAATAATTAATATTTTATGTTTATCATACTAGTTAAACATGTTAATTTCGTGTTACCATACAAACGAGAAAATAAAGAAGTGTTTATTCTTAAATAAACGGATTGAATTGAATATGAGTCGTTTATATTTTGTGTTGGTGTGTCAGGTCATTTTTGAGTTTGTGTCAAATTATAATTAAGTTAGTGCCAAGTTTGAGTCGTGTTATCATGTTGAGTCGAAAGTTTTCACCCCTAGTTAATATGGAAAAAATATATTTTGTATTTTAATTTTTTATTTTTTTAAAAAAATATAAATGCATATTTATTATTATATTTATATATGAAATTAATATATACATAATATATGTATTTATCAAAAGATATATATACAAATAAAATATATTTCAACACAAATAATTAAATTTTTATCTATTTTTCTTCCGATTTTAAACTATCAACTTTTCCGTCATTTATATTTTCTTTCACGTAGCTCAGATGAATAAGGACCGACTCGACTAGCTTGTATACGATTTGCTCATAGCTCATAGCTCTGCATTTCATTGCCTTTTTAATTTCAAGTGTATCATAAAGATTATAAATGCCAGTAGTGCTGTTATGTGCAACAACATAATTTATTTTTGACTTAGGTCTTACTATACGTGATGAGTCCGAATTTTAATTGGCCAAACCCAATAAAAATAAGTCAAAAGAGTCTAACAAAATGTCCAAGAACAGATGGATCGACCAAAGAATCAAGTGGGAGTCTAAAACAGAGACCAAACTCATCCTCAAAGGGGGCACCACCCAAGGGACCAAATGGGCGCCATCCAAGAAGACTCCAAGTGGGCGCCATCCATGCCTTGCCCATTCTCTCCTCCTCACTTCACTTCAATGCAAGTCCAAGATCACTCCGAGTCCAAGCCCAAAGTTAAATACGAGCTCAGTCTAATTCAAGACCTTCCTCCGAAAAAATAGAAGCATGAGAGAGAAAACGCTGGGATAGGCACGAAGATCTCTTACCATAGTTGTACTTACTAAAACAATATAAGTCTTCCTCCTCGCGTCACTTTCCTCATCACACCTATATAAAGTAAGTCCTCTCCATATAGAAGGCAGATGTTCTCATAACCTGGAGATCCCTACACACACTGCACCTTCCTACACACACTGCTCTCTCTCTCTCTCTCTCTCTCTCCAAAGCACTGTAATACATCGGAGTGACTCTCTCGGTGACACTGTTCATTAATAAAATGCCCTAGGCCGCCGTCACCATTCTCGAGAGTGGACGTAGGTCACACAGACCGAACCACTATAAATCTCTGTGTTGGTTGCTTATTTACTGTTTTTGTCCATTGATTGTCGTTGATTGCTCATTAATTGCCCATTAATCACACCCGTTAATATCCTTGATTGTTAATCTTGCATAAATCAATTTTGTGCATCATCAGTTTGGCGCAATCTGTGGGAAAAACTAATTTTTTGCTCACTCAATTCATGGCAATCATTACCCGATCGATGAGCCAGCAATCGAGAGACAACAACCTAGCTCACCGGGAGGAGGCTTTGCCTCCCACTGCACCTATGGAACCTTCCGCTACTACCACTCCTGCCGCTGGACAACAACAACAACTCCTCCAGACCATAAAGTTGCTAGTGAGCCAAAACCAGCAAATTATCCAACTCATGTTCTCCCAAAGAGGCGTCACCCCTCCCCCCGCAGGAGGAGTCTCACTCCCTCTATTGGGAGAAGAACAAATGTCTATCCCTCCTAGGCTCCAAACAGCCCCTACCACGGGGCCCCTAGCCAGACCACTCCGGGACCATGCCAGGGCGCTCTTCATCTAGCCCCACCTCAGTGCACAGGGAGTTCTTGAGTGCCCACTCCTCATGAACCTAGGCAGGAGGACGAAAACCGAGAAAGTCAATACGGAGACCATGAAAGCAGGTAACAGCACCAGACTGAGGGTGTCGCCAACCAGTGGGAGGAGAAGATCAGAGTGGTGCAAAATCAGCTTGGTGATGCCTTTAACGCCATCAAAGTACAGGCGCCTAAGACCCTATACTATTTAGTAAGACACACTGATACCCCTTTTATTGCTGATATTGTTAACTATCCCCTACCCTCGAAGTTCAAGATGCTCTCCATCAAGATCTTTGATGACACCAAAGACCCCCTAGACCACCTGGACACCTACAAATCCCTCATGCAACTCCAGAATGTGCCTGAGGAGATAATGTGCAGAGCTTTCCCTACCACCTTGAAGGGGTCTGCCCGCCAGTGGTTCTCCAAGCTTAGACCCTCCTCCATTCGCTATTTTGCAGAGCTCGGCAGGTCCTTAGTCTCCCACTTCATTGGGGGACGTCGACATCAGAAGTCGGTAACCCATCTGCTCACTATCAAGCAGGACCGGGATGAAAGTCTCTGAAATTACCTTGCCTGATTTAATGAGGAGATCCTCCAGGCTGAGGAGTCAGATGATAAGGTAACTCTGACTGTCTTTATCGCCAGCCTCCGCACCTCCAACTTTATGTTCTCAATCCTCAAGAAGCCGCCCTCCAACATGCCCGAACTACTGTTAAGGGCACAAAAGTATATGAACGTCGAGGATATCACCAAGGCCAGACGAGGTAAGTTCTTCCATGGGGGCGAAAAGAGGAAGGATACCCACGAAGATAGGAGAGAAGCAAAGAATAAGAGGAATAGGACAGAGAAAATCTCTGCCAAGGACCGCCTTGGTCCTCTACTTCTGAGAGAACGGCAGACATTCACGCCGATCAATACTTTCACGGAGCATCCCGTTCCAACTACAGGATGATCCCATGCTCCGTTGGCCCGCTGCCCTAAATCGCAGAAATCCCAGTAGGTACTGTTGTTTTCATCTCAGCAGCATCTCTCATCTTCTCCATCTCTATGGAGTGAGACTCTGACCTAGTAGCTCTCTCAAGTGTTACTCGAAGGTCAGTCTCAAAGTATCTCCTTCATCTCTATGGAGTGAGCCTCTGTCCTAGTAGTTCTCTCAAGTGTTATTCGAAAGTCAACCTCAAAGTTGGGCAGCCCTCTCATGTGCTAGCCTCAACTTTTCAGCGGCATCCTCTTATGCCTGTCACTCGAGCCTTCACAGCTTCACGGCATCCTCTCGTGTCTGCCGCTCAAGCACCAACTGTTCTTCAGCAGCCTATATCTCCAGCTTTGCAATTTCTCGCGAGTCGCAAAGAAGCTCGGCCTTATCTAGTCTCTGCTATGGCAGCCATCTCTCGAGTTATACGTAGCTCATGACTCTGTTCTCGCGCAAGTAGTCACCTTGTAAGGCTTTGCTACAGCAGTCATCTCTCGAGTTATACGTAACTTGGCCTCATCTCATGCGGCCCTCTCACGGGACGACCACAGCTCCGACTTTGCTCTCATGCAAACAGTCTGTCTCTCTCCAAGTAATCATGTTAAGATATTTAAATGTTGGAATAACATTGTTTTTGTCAAACACAGTTTTGGAGCTATACTCCCTAAAGAAAACCGCGCTGGAGTCTCAGTTCCTATAACGGTACAAGTGCTAGCTCTGTTGTACACAAGAGTCACACTCTGGGAAGGAGTGGGAGCACCATCGGATTCCACTCTCAGGAAACAATTGGACCTTGGCCGAAAAGTACTGGGGGCATCAAACCTCGCCCTCTTGAGAGGAGGAAAAGACACCACCATAAAGGCAGAAAGAGTCCCCAGATCAACAGGGCGTTTATAATTAGAGACAATGTCAGTCAGTGACCTAGCACCAGAGAGGTGCCACCCAGACTCAAGGCATCGCCTAAATATAGCAGTAGCTTGGAGTGCCCAAGGTGCCTGACCAGCCTCTTGCTATCGCCTAAGGTGTCGCCTAAGATGCCTACCCAGCCTCTGGGTATTGTTCAAGGCGTTGGTCAACCTCTTGACATCACTCAAAGCACCATACCAGCCTCTAGTGGCGCCCACAGTAGCCTCCACTGTTGCCCAAAGGATGCAAAAAAAAAAAAACAAGGGGGAGGAGTCAGTTCCAGTGAAGCCAAGCAAAGAAAAAAAAAGAGAAGGGAAAGGGGGCGCCTAAACAGCCAAAGAAAAAGAATAAAAGGGGGAAAGGTGGTGCCCAACAACCAAGAAGACCAAGAAAAAAAAAAGGGAGGGGGAGGCGCCAAACCAAAGGAAGAAAAGAAAAAGAAAGAAAGAAAAAAAACAGAGAGAAGGGAGAAGGTCAGCCCAACAACACGCTAGGACAGCTAAGAAGAAAAGACAAAAAAAAAGAGTAAATTCCAGTTTATCCCCTCGTGGTTTGTGCCTTGAGTAAATGACCCCCTATCATTTGGAAATAAGCACATCGCCCCCTGTAGTTATGGACTAAACTGCAATTGTTAAGTTTTTTGTCAGAACAGATGAAAGTAAAGAGGACGCGCTGGTTTGGCAATTGATCAACAAAGTTCTCAGCTTCCCTCCAAAATAAATATACCCAAATGTCAAAAATGACACTATGTTAACAGATGCTATACTCCTCGGCCTTCCACAAGGTCATCCTCATGGCTTTCAAACCCCAACGCCTCCGTCAATTTAATCTCTCTCTCTATCTGAGTTGACCTTACAAAGTGTAGCAAAGAAGCCAAGAATAGTGACCAGTGACCACTAAGTCCTCTTCCCATGAAAGACGCTTTCTCCAAATACGCTGACTACCTCAATAACCTTTTAAAACATACTCACCATTTAATTTTCATATATTCACACTCAGTGTTGGGTATGAGTTTCTATTGGAAGCTTCGAATGCAAAAATTGTAAATGGTTTTCAAATGGGTTTTGAGATGAATGTTGAGTTGTTAATTGCAAAGAGAACTTTTGCTACAAGGCATCATCCACAATTCTGTGATAAGGTAAGCTTGTTTTCATATTCAATAACAAATTCCTAAAGTTTCTTTAGTGGCCGTGGTGTATAGTGAGAGAAAATAAAAACTATTGTTGAAACTTGAAACTTGAATTTTAGGGTATTCAAAATTTCGATTTTCAGAGTTGAAGAAGGGTCTAATCCACCATTTTTAGGGTCAAAGAATCTATTTTTGAAGTTAGAATCGAGAAAGAATGAGGTTTGGTGGGTGAAAATTTGAATTAAAAATCGTAACAATTTTTGAGAATGATGAACCCGTCACTTTGGAGCTCGATTTCTATTTACCATGTGCATGATGTGGACAAACTAAATATATGGTTGGAAAGACGGTAGAAATAGGTTAAATTTAGGTATTTGAATCATCCAAAAAAGTTGAGAAACGGGAGAGAAATTAAGGGTCAAAGTTGGCCCAAATGTTGAAAAAAATTCTGATATGTAGATAACCTGTCAAAATGAGTTTGTGATCACCTTTGAGCTTAAGTTCGTGGGTCATGGGGGCTATTTAAGGAAACAAGTCTGTTGGGTTTAAAATTAGGTTTAGAGTGGAGGATATTGACATTGGTTTGAGGAAGTTTGATGTTTTATGCAGAGAGAAAAAAACTTGTAAAGTTGGATGGTTGGTTGATTTTTCAGAAAATTAGGCAATAATTGAAAGGAATGAAGAAGATGATGAATAGTTGAGGGCACTAAAGTTATTTTATCACTTCTATTTAGGATGTTAATTGTGCATATCAGTCCGAAAGCATAAGGGGGTAATGTGCTGATTTCTAAATTATAGGGGAGTCATGTGCAAAACACCCAAACCACAAGGGGATAAACTGGATTTTGCCCAAAAAAAAAAGGAAGAGAAACAGTCTGGAGAAGACCAGCCCAACAAGCAAGGACAACCAAGAAAGGAAAAAGAAGAAAAAAAAAGAAGATGAAAAGTCAACAAAAGGAAGACAAAGGAAGGAAAAAAAAAAGAAGGAAGAGAGTAAAAATTTTTTGATACCAATCAATGCAGTGGAGTCCTAAAGACGAGAGAGATTTCAACTCACTCTGATGAAGACAAAGCACATGCCCGCGACCCCTTCCACTCGAAAAAGTCAGAGGCTCGGGGCATAGGGAGCAAATGATGAATTCGAATTTTACTAGGCCAAACCCAATAAAAATAAGCCGAAAGAGTCCAAAGAAAAATCCAAGAAGAGATGGATCAACTAAAGAGTCAACTGGGAGTCTAAAACAGAGACCAAACCCATCCTCAAATAGGGCATCGCCCAAGGGACCAACTGGGCGCCGCCCAGGGTGGGCGCCGCCCATGAAGACTCCAAGTGGGCGCCACCCATTTGGCCTCAAGTGGGCGTCATCCATGTCTTGCCCATCCTCCCCTCCTCACTTCACTCCAATGCAAGTCCAAGATCACTTCGGGTCCAAGCCCAAAGTCAAGTACGAGTTCAGTCCAGTTCAAGACCTTCCTCCGAAGAAATAGGAGCACGAGGGAGAAAACGTCGGGATAGGCACGGAGATCTCCTACCATAACTGTACTTACTAAAACAGTATAAGTCTTCCTCCTCACGTCACCGCCTCATCACACCTATATAATGTAAGCCCTCTCCATATATAGGGTATATGCTCTCATAATCTGGAGATCCTTGCACACACTACACCGTCCTACACACACTGCTCTCTCTCTGTGACACTGTTCATTAATAAAACGCCCCAGGCCGTCGTCGTTGTTCTTAAGAGTGGACGTAGGTCACGCAGACCGAACCACTATAAATCTCTGTATTGGTTGCTTATTTATTGTTTTTGTCCATTGATTGTCGTTGATTGCTCATTAATCACACCCGTTAATATCCTTGACTGTTGATCTTGCGCAAGTCAATTTTGTGCATCATCAATACGTACTACACGACATTTTTGAATTTCACTAAAAGGTCTTTTCTCTCTCCTCTGATTCAATGTAAAAAAGAGAGAAAGATGAAAAATTGAAGGGATAGATAAAACATTATGTTTGATAAAGAAGAAAAATATGATGAATAAAAAAATGGATGAAATTTTTTTTTCTAACTCACTAAAATTAAATTCCTCCAAAATTGAAAGGAAAATAAATGGAAAGTTAATTATTTGTATTAAAATGTATCTTATTTGTCTATATATTATTTGATATATACATATACTATGTATACATTAATTTCATATATAAATACAATGATAAAATATATATTTAAATTTTTTTAAAAAAAATTCCATCTTACGAAGCATAAAAAAAATTAATCATTTTTTATTATTCATCCATCCAACCAAATATAAAAGAAGGAAAGTGTATCATTCATAATTTCTTTCCTTGGAGGATAGAAAATATATTTTTTCTATTTTCCATCCCTTTTACTAAACGGAGCATAAATGATTATTAGCTTATCTCTATTCCTTTCCGGAGTAGGTTATATTTTTTGATATAATTAACAATGTTTTTTTTCCTATTGTTACAACCCGTATTAAAAATTAATCGCTAACATGTAATTTAAGTAATTAATTATGATCTTATATAGTTAATAATCATTTTTAGAAATTTCAAATAAACAAATGAACCTCAAATATAATTTTTTTTTATGTGAAAACAAGTCAAATTAGTATAATATAGGTCATATTTCGTATTAAAAATAAAATGTGTAATACATTACATATAAAATATATGAATACACATATAAGACAGGTGGTCTATTAGAATTAAAAAAAAAAAAAGAAGCAACCATGGAGAATGGACATTTGTCCAATGGTTTCCTTGGAGGCCAAGCATAATTTTGGCTATAAATAGCCAAGTCAGGCCAAGCAACAACGCATAAGGAGAAGAAAGAAAGGGGGAGAGAGAGAGAGAGAATAGAATAGAAAAAAAAAATCAGGAGATTTTTGGGTCAAAAATTGAGTGGTGATTTTATTTCAGATCATTATCAAATACAAATATTTTGTTCGGGGTATTTTGAATTTCATATCTATCAAAGTCATTTGAGGTACGGGGTAGTATGCAATATGCTCCTGTCTTTTAAATTTCTTTGCAAAGAGTGTTCTTTCATTATTTAAAAATTTGTATTTCTGTTGATTATTCTAATTAATACGAAATTCTGTCAATGTTATCCGTTAACCTGTACGTTGGGCTAAATACTTTGGGATTGATTGGTATATGTACGAAGTGTACTTTGGGGCACAATTGGTGAAATGTGATTATGGCCCTGCGAGGTGCGATTGTGATTACAGTCTTGAAAGGTATAATGATTCAATATGAGTATGAATTTTAAATGCCCAAGTGTCACTAGACATGTTATCAAGAGGACCCGAATATGAGGTCATGTTTGATAGATATTGAGCTTTGTGATTTATCGAATTGGATTCATGATTCTTTTATCTATTATTGTCTATCGATTGAATTATTTGGTGTTTAATCATTCATATTCTTTTCTCGTTGAGCATATTATTTCCTGTCATATTGTATACTTCTCCACCTTTAATATTTTTCAGGATTATCTCGGAGGGAAGAACTAGAGCTAATATTTGAGGAATCGAAGATGGATGAATCTTGAGATAATTTTTAATTTTGTATATTAAGGAGATTAATTTTTTTTTATTTGGAGATCAAAATTGTGATTATAAATTTATTGAGAAATTAGAGCTCTGGCCCTGTATTTGGAGATTTATTTGTGATTTATTGTGATCGATCGATTTAATCAAGTAATGAGTCCGAAAAATCGGGGCGTTACACCTAACTACCTTGTATTCAATGAAAATTTCATACAGGCTCTTAGGGAGATTGTTCATATCATTATTACGTAAATCAAAAGATGCAAATAAGGATAAAATGAGGGTGGTTAACATAATCCATTATTCATATCACTATGTCAGTTTACCTAAATCTTTTCGACGATAAACATTAAAAAATACAAAAAAAAACAGAAAAAGACTCTTTTTTCCGGTAAATTAAGAAGAAGAAGTCACACTTAGGAAAGCAAGATTGGTAATTTCCGGTGGGCATAGGTCTATTGGATGACATCAGATCAGTAGGCTGAATCCATGAAAGCCCATGGATTCTGAGAAACCCATTCTAAGGCTCAGTGCTTATCTTTTTGGGGTCTCCATACACGACTCCCTCCGCCAAGCCCAACTCGCCTTTGCCTTGCTGTGCCCTTTCTGCCATCTGTACCTTTGTTGATTTGTAAAACGTGGCATAAAGTAGTAATTGGGCCAGCCCAAGCAGTGAACCCATCCCATTCGGCGCCTGAAGAAACACATCAAAGTCCCATGTAAGAATTCAAATTTAAAAAAAAAAAAAAAACTTATTGAGTTGTAAAGTTTTTTCCTGAGTAATTTTTTTAAGTAAAAAATTATTTTTTGTGAAAATAAATGTTTAATTACTATTTTTTAAAAATAATGTGTAATGTATCTTATTGTATAAATGAACAATAGCGTATTCTACACTTTTTGGTGGATGTGTTGGTGTTTTGGGGGTAGAAAAAGAGTGGGTAATTATTGAGTTAGCTGGACATGTGACTATTGAGTATTGACATTATCACCGTTGGAACGAACATTTAGAGAGAGAGAGAGAGAGAGAATACAGTGATAAAGGGGTCAAAACGGATAAGGGCATAAGATGTCCAGCTAATGCCGTTAGCAAAGGAAGCCAGGGAGAGGAAGAAGGGCATGTATTCTACACTTTTTGTCTTGATCACCAGTTTCTGCAACACAAATCACTTTCATGTATACGTTAATCATTCAAAATTTCATGACAACAATCAATAATTAATCTTACAAACAAGTACATGAGACCATACAGCAGTTCTGATAATGGAGGAGATCGACTAACCATGACAGATAAGGGTGAAGCATACATTAGGATGTTACCCACTATACATATGCTTCCGACGATCAAAGACCGAAGCTTAGTAGTATGTGCTAGGTTTAGAACCAGAAGGACGAGAACAGCGAGGAAGACGAACTCAGCAAGCATTGTTAGAACCACTCTCAGCCTCTTCTTTCTGTCAGAATATATGATAAAGATGAACACGTAAACCAGCTCAATGGCAAACCCTGTCCCGTTGATGGTCACCACCAGGGTGCTATGTGGGTGCACCATGGGCAGTCCGTACAACACCCATAGACCGCAGTTGATTAGGGTTGCAAGGTAAGGCACTGGTGAGTACTGTTCAACCGCTCCTTTTTTCCATATACGAAGGAAAGTTGGCCTGAAAATGATACCGGAACAAAATTTTCCCAGCAATAAATTGATAGTTTTCCCTCACAAGGGTTTGTTTACAATACACGTTTATATAGTAAGAAAGGGTGTTTAAAATACATATTTTTTATAATTAAAGTTTTGTAAACATGTTTTTACATTAAAAGTATACATAAAACGACGTTCTTACACAATCTAGAATAAGTTTGAAAATAAGTAAGATACAAAGAGGGAGCTTTGAAAATTATGTTAGAACTATAGAAGAGTAAAAGAAATGGTCTTATAGATCGATCGTTGCATCACTGCTCTTGAAAAAATGGGAATTTGAGCTTACACTGGTGACAAGAACAAGAATAGCGAAATTACGTTCCCTGTAAATAAACAAATCAAATCCACATCAGGTTTGCCTGCAACAAAAACTAATGGGAAGTTCCACAACTCCCCCCCCCCCCCCCCCCCCCCTCGCCGGGTGTGTGTTAAAAATAACAAGAGAATGAGAGAAGGTAAAAGTGGTTTTATGTGTTAATCCACTCACCTATAATACCAACAACTGTTCGACTAGCTTCACTAGAAACCATGGCTGTGAACCGAAGGAAAAAGAGCAAGCAAAAGCGGAAGAGTTTGTTAAGCAGGAATTGAAGAGGGTGAGGAATTGACAAAGTTATATAGGCAAGCGAAGGGGTTCAGTTTGGCCTTGTCTATCACATCACATAAGCACGCAGTTGGGGTCCACTTGCATGACATGTATTGGGTCGTGACATTCAGAAGAACACATGGAGAGAGAGACAAAGATAGAGATAAATGAGGAGAGAGAATGTAATTGGCATTGGCACTGCCTTCAACGTTCTCAAAACCCTAACGCACAAATTTCAGATAGAGACCGATACTCTGTTGGCATGGCTTGTCTGAGGTAAAAGCCAATTTACAGTCACTTTCCATCTACACTGAATTCAAGTCGAAGTTATCCTTATCCATATAAGGTAGATTTGCATGAATATATTGCAGTTGATTAGTATGTTACCTTGGACAGTTAAGGTGACCCGCTTTTTAAGAATGAAAAAGGAAAGCAAATTAATGAGTGTGAACAGGTTCTGGTTTAGGGTCATGGAGGACAGCATTGAGGCAGATCCCCTAATAATAGGGAGGTCCCCATATCATTTCCCTGGAGGAGAAAATCAGATCATAGGCAATCTGCTTTGAAAAATGCTTAAAAGCAAACATGATCCAGTATCGTTTATTTTTTATTTGAATGATTTATAATCATCGATAATAAAAATAGATTAGTTTTCGGTAACACAATTGAACCCTATACGATTTTGGCAAACAGGTTGGTCATGGTTAGAATGTGAAATGCATACATTTGGTGTTGCACATCTGCTTTTTTTAGTCATGCCTTAGTTAATGAACATAATTCATATATAATTTATTAGAACACTGGTGTCTACTCTTAAGTCAAATTACATCTATGTTGACCAACAAACAAATGGTATGTGTATTAGTAATACATTAACTGTTACATATTTTCTGTTAAATTGATTTCCAACCCAGTAAAGTACTTGATATTCAAAATCTCACCTTGGATTGACTTGCATGCTTTGAATCCTGGTGTCCTAGACTATAAGAAATCTATGATGATTTATATGTAATCTGCATCTTGTTAGATAGATAATTAATGTACAGAGCAAGTTTAACTTAATTAGTTAGAGCAGAATCAAAATGTAGAACTGCTTAGTTACTATAAAAAAGTTGTTGGATAAGCAAGTTTTATGCTCCGTTTGGTATGATGAAAAAATGAAATGATAGAAAGTTGGAGGGATAAATAAAACATCATGTTTGGTAAGGAAAGAAAATAGGATGGACGAAAAAGTGGATGAATTAATTTTCCTTCCAACTCATCAAAATTAATCCCTCTTGAATCGGATGGAAAGTTAATTTTCAATGTATCTTATTTGTTTATATCTATATAATAAAGTAGAATGAAATTTGAATCTAAAAGACAAATAGAGGTCCAGATCATTTTGAGACAAACCATAAACACATTCAAGGGACAATGTAATTTCAACATAAAAAACGGTTTAGATCATCTCATAAATAGTGACTTGATTGTTTACAGTGAATACTGAATTTTGTTTTCCTGCCCAACAACATTTCCTTTTTTTAATTTTGTTTACGTAATCTTAATTGATGTTTGAATTTTTTTTTCCTGTTCAAAAATTTGAGTAAGTCTTTCATCTCATATATAACTCTAGACTCCTATTGTTCATGTACCTCTCTCTCTCTCACACACTCATACGATGTCTCTCTCTCCCTTCCTCAATCTCCTCTCTCAATCACGCCTCTTTTTTTTTCTCTCTCTACGCAGAAAACACACAAAAAACAAAAATACTCACACATGCGCTCAGATCTTACTGTGTTCATTTCTGCTTCTTTGAGTCACTAAGGTCAGGTTTGTGTTTCCTTCTACTATTGCACTTTGAATTTAATATGCTTCTTATTTTTTTTACATACTTTCTTTCACTTCTTATCTCTCTCTCTCTCTTTTACGCTTGCCGACAACACCACCATCGGCCCGGCAAGATCGCCACTGCCACACACCCCACCACCATCATACACCCAGGTATTCCTCTTCTATGCCCCTTCTCTCTCTCTCTCTCTCTCTCTCACACACACACACACACTCTGAACGAACCACTCCCCCCCACCAGTTATCCCCTTCTCCCTCCTCTTCGTTTCTGTCTCACACACACAAAAAATGGGTTTGATGAGTAAGACCTCACATTGATTCTGATACCTTTGTCTGCTTTGATTGGAATTAGGTTTGCTTTGTTTCAGTGGTTTTTGGTCTCCAAGGTGAGGGTTTCAAGAGGTTTGGACAATGGCTTCAAAGATAGGTTGATTGAAGAAGAAGAACAACAGGATGGTATTGACACTAATGAGGTAGTCGCCAAATGTGCTGAAATTCTGAATGTCATTTCTATTGGTGAGCTCTCTCTCTTTCTCCTTCTCTTTCTCTTTCTCTTTCTCTGAATGAACCCCCCACCCAGCTCTCCCCTTTTCCCTCATCTGCTTCTCTCTCACACACATGCAACCCACCCTTTTCTTCCCCCTCTGCCAAGACCACCCCTTCTTTCACACATACACACAAAAATGCAACCTCCACAAAATGTCAAAGAGAAGAAAAATAGCCCTGCATTCTAGGCTGTCGACGAATTGTCGAAGCAAAAGAAGAAGTCCATGGTGCCTTTTTTGAGTTTTAATTTTATTTGCTTCCTTTTTTTTTTGCCTATAAATTGGGTCCTTCTTAATTGCAATTGCCTTATGGTCTCATTGGCTTAGTCCAATTTTCATACAAAATTCCATGTCCAGAATATGATTCATTCGTTTAATTGTTTTTCATATTGGTGTGTACATTTCCTCGCCTCCCATTTCCACACCCCCTCCCCCTAGCAAAAAAAAATTGTGATGTGGTTCTGTAATCTGTCTCTATACTTTGATCCTCAAAAGAAACTATAATAGCCTACATTTTCTATGCAGGCAATTTGCAACACCAGAGCAGAAGAACAGTAGAGGTTGCTTTCTGCGAAAACAAAGGCAATAGCTTCCGGTTGCCATTGATCTGTGACACAGTAAAGACGTTCAAATGAACTCCCCTGATCAATCTATCATCAAGTTTATTACGTTTCTTATCCAATATACTAGAATTGCAAAGTAATTTCGGTTGTCTTGGTCTCAGAATATGGACAATGTAAGATTGGTAGTATGGTCCAAGACTCGAGTTTGATTCAGAAGAACGATGAAACTTGCACATTTTTTGTCTCTCACTTTTTTTTTGGCTTGATAAATTCCTATCAGTGTTATTACAGTAACTGTAATGTATGTCACCGAAGAAATCAGAGATTATGAGAACCGTTACAAACAAAGCACATGGCTTGGTACAACCACAATGTCAAAACTTTGGATTCTCCAAAAAAAAAAAAAATTGTTTTTCATATTATCAATTGTATTTGTACAAGTGGCTCTTTGTTTATGCTTCTAGAGAATTTGTGTTTATGTTATATGGGCATGCTTTGTTTTTGTCATCCTTAGGAATTACAATAGTTTTGGTGCATGACTAGATAGTAAGTTTCGAATTACTTTCTACGGTAGTTGTACCTTACTTCGATCATTCTTTTTTGATATCTTATTGATTTAGCTTTGATCCACTAGCTTGATGTTTTTTTACTCATATTTTTATCTTTTTTCTTTTGGTTTCTTGTCTTATTATAAAATAAGACTCTTATCATTAATAGAACTAACTTTTATGTTAAATATTGAAGCTGGAATTTGCCAATTTTTTGCACAAGATCTCAAAACTGAGGAAAATTCTTGGAGGTGTTTTTTTATATTGCATTGCTGCTGCTGCTGCTTTTTTTTTTTTGACGCTTCTCCATAAAATTGTGAATTTTGTATAAGATTATAAGCTAAAATTTGTGTTGTGTTCTTTTCGTTTGAATAGGTAATTAGATTGGTAGAGAAAGTGATGGAGTACTATAGTGTGGATTTGTTGTAACCAATAGCTTATTCATATTTACTACTAGTAATTGCCCGTGCGAAAAATTAGATTAAAACTCTAAAAATATTACATTACCTAATAACTTACGATCAGACATAACGTTATCATAATTTACCATACCACCACAATAATTAATACATATTCAATCATCAACATATATTCAACCACCAAAACATCAAGTTAATCCGTACTAATTTCAAGAAATTTATGCAGAATTTCTTTTAAAAATAGATATCCAAAAAAATATAAACTTTCTACAAAACTTACAATCATCACTACATACCCAAACCACAAAAACAACCATCATTCCATACCCAAAATCATCATAATTATGTATAATTAGTTAACTTTACAAAAGAAGGAACACAAAAAATACACACATGCACAAAATAGAAAAACGACTTCATATTCTTTACAACTTACACCAAGTATCCTTCAATGTATACCTGAAAATATTTGAAATATAAAAATTATCGAAATAAGTGAGTCAAAATAAAACAATTGTAAATCCGAAACATAAGACCCCTTACTTTTTTCGTTAGTTGAATTCAATATAATTAATTACATTACCCTGAATTAGCTAAAAAAACAAATGAGCACACACATTTGTATGTAGTGGGAGGGGAAATGATTTAGATTGATATAAGTAAGAATTTAGAGAGTTTGTAACAAATTATCAATTTATTTAGGAAAAGATATGGAGGAATGCGGAGACTTACAATCAAATAAGATTTTCTTAGTATCATTTCAACAGACGATTCATTTGCTTAATGATTTCAATCATAAATCTGTATTGGTGACAGTATAATGGTGTGTGAGTTTGATTTGCGAGTGTTTGATTGGTTACAGTTATGTGTTTGTGTTTGTGCATGTATTGTGTGTTGTGTGTCTACTTGACAAATAGAGAAATATAGAGTCTTAGTAAGAGAGACTTTCATACCTAAACAATTGTTTGGTCAGTGATGAGTTAGTCATTGTCAAAGGTGGACAGGCCGGTAATGGATTGCATATCATTTAACTCTCTTA